CCTACGCTTCAGACATCCTGCCAGATGGGTAACAACGATGACTTCTCATGTAAAACTCTGATCAGCAGATGAAGGATGACTTATTAATATTACCGCACTCCTGCCAAGCTTTCAATAGCTGAATCTCCAGTGGTTTCATGCCAGGAAAAATGCCTGCAGCTGAAGCATTTATCCTCAAAGGGATTTATTTAAGTTTACTATACTTCTTTTTCCTCTTCTAAACTTAAGCTGCTTTCTGTAAGAGGTAAGCTATTTGCTTAGTCCATCTAGTCCCATAATTGGTTCAGGGTGTGTACTTCAGTACTTAAACATAAGAAGGAATTGCACTACAACACATATTTTGGAGGCTGTTGTTTTGAAATTTTGCTGATGAGTTCAGGTCACCTCCATTTTTATGCTTTATTTTCTCAAAACTCCATTCAAAATGTTGCCTTAAGGATAGAAAGAACGTTCCAAAAGACTTGCTGTCCTCACTGAGATTGCAGCATTCCTGCTCTAACAAGAAAACTTTCAGCTCTGCAAAAAGGTTCAGTAAGGCTCTGTTGTGTTGCTTGCTGCCATTCACCAGCACTGACAGATCCATACAGCCTCTAATTTAAATATTTACTATTAGTAAATTTATATTACTATTTGACCCAAACGCTCCAGTTGCAATTTAACCTCTGCACTGAGGGCTCTCCAGCAGGGAGTGGGCAGACAACCCTTGCCCCTGAAGGCTCACAATCTAAAACTGATTATTTGTTAGGCAATGATAAGCGTGTTTGTGGCTGTAAAATTCAAAGCAAGAAGCCAAAACTCCTCAGGCTTCCAGAAGAAGACAGAAACAAGGGGGATAACAGCATGATTTAACATTTTAATGCACTACTATCTTTGAGAAGGCTTAACATTATGTCCAGATAAATCCATTTACAGTTACAGCATTGCTATATACTTAACCTTACTCCTTCCCACTGGTTTGAGGATGGTGCTATCTCAAAAATAAGGCACTAAACACAGCAGATCTTGAAATGTACCTTTCCAGTGAAACAGACAGTGAAGCTTTCCCTTCCAGTCAAATCTGTTTTAAAACAGATAATGAAGCTTTCGAGTATACACTTCAACTCAAACAAAATAAAGATACAGAAAAGTATACATTTCACTCAATCTCATCTACAGACAGATACCACTCCTGCTTCAGCACTTACGACCTTTCCATGATTACTATAGCCTTCCCCACACACCCACAATAAAGTTTTTGGCAGCCACCTTCACAGACATGCAGCCATGTACCATGTCTGTCTGACTTTTACAGCCAATGTGCTATCTGCTTGAATGGCCAAATCAGAAAATCAGTGCAGAGGCAGCTTCCCCTTACTGCAAGTGCTTGCCATTTGAACTTGTTTTAGCAAGTTTCACATCACTTAAGGGTAGCACAATAGCCGCTCCCCAGCTGCTACAGAAATAAATGCAGAGTTGCCCTCTAACTGGAAGAAAACAAAAGAGGTTTTGTTGTTGCCATTGTTTAAGTACGCAGCCAAATCAGGTAATTTTCACATCCTTCAGCAGGCCCCAGGCAGGTCCCCAGGACTCTGTGCAAGAGTGAGGAACCAGCAAGGCAAGTTCAGGACACAGCACTAACATCATAAAGACCTGGCAGAAGAAGGGTCCTTGCCTTCTTCTAAATCACCTTCTAGCCCTTCCATCAGCATGCCAAGATATCAAAAAACAGGGGATATGAGAAGTCTGAGCTTGTGCAAGTACACCACCACTGATTTCAGCACCTTGGCTCTCACTGTGACTTCCATCAAGCACAAGGCAAGGCCTTCAGAAAAAGGTGCAATCCAGCCTCCCTTGCTGCCCTGGTGTCCTGACTCAGGACTTGTCCTAAGGCAATTTCTTCTTGAATATCACTTCTGGCAGTATTTATATAGGCATGTGTGATGCACAGGGTATCACCTATTCAGACACACAAAGCAGGAACAACGGAGAAAATGCTGCTTTTATCTTGTAATACCACCAGAAAACAGCAGTTCCAGTGCAGTGGTGCTGCTGAGAGACCAGACAACTACAATGTTCCCCTCCCACAGGCATGAAGAGACCTCCGTGCACTCCCCAGTGATCAGGTGGCACAGCCCTACAGGCCTCAAACACCTTCTCCTAGAACAGGGCAGTCTGGAAGCATCCTACAACTATCAGGGGACAGCAGCGTTTACTTGAGCTTTCGGTTTGCATTTCAAGTTGTTGACTCAACACAAAACAAAACACAACACAGCCACAAATTTCCTACACAGTGACCTGTATCGCGTCACAGCTGAATGCAAGTCATCAGTGATACAGCAGATCTATTCCTAAGTTTGACCGGCATTATTTTAACAAGGTTTTACTCAAGAACATTAGGACAACTAGCCAACCACTTTATTTATATGTTCCTGTTATCTCATCTGCACACTTGGGCTACTGCCTGTGGGGGGGGGGTGTACAGCAATAATATACATATGACTACATACCCATAAGCCATCAGTCAAGAGTTTAGGATTTGTCATGGCCAGACCAAAATGTGAACACAACCATCCACTTAATTTAAGATAAAGTTTTGTAACAGCCTGTCTTTCACTAATAATTTTGCCTGCCAAATTGTGCCTCAAGTACATTTTTTCTAAATAAGAAAAATTTTATCAAGGTCTAGAACTCTATAATAGTTTTTGCTCCCTTTTAGACTAAACAGCAATTCTAATCTCTGTTTCAAGTTCCTCAAAGGCTAAAACAAAAACCCTTTCTCTTAGATATAAAACCACCAAGCGACTTTGGATTAACAGAGTTTAAGTAAATTATTCCTTTAAGTCTTCACGGGTTTCAGTTTCCCAAGAACAGACTTGCTTTAGGAAGCCAAAGTGAAGGACTATTCTGTACCCCCATCACAAAGCTTGGGACATCCACACACAACACCAACTGACTCGGCAGGAAAGACCCGAAATGGTGACCTTAAGAAGGCAGGTGATGTGCTACTGTTGTAAGCTCTCAATTCTTGCAAAAGGACACAGCCATCTCAGTGTTGACTGTGAAGAAGCCCCGGTTCAGAAGGCCTTTACAGAAATACCACACATAAGCATGCATGAGATGATTGTTATCTAGGATTTGAAGGCAAGAAAGAGTAGAGCCAGTACAACAGTCAGCTGGCAGGCAGACAGACAGAATTCTTTAGGCTTGATGGAAAGTTGCAGCCTTCTCCCGAAACATGGGTAATGGCTTATTGTGCTGCTTGTTCTGTTACAAGCGGCAGAGCTACTGTTCGGTTAAAACATTCTGTACATGACAGACCATTATGGCAATCCTGCTCCTGATTCAGTAGGGGCATCCTGTCTCTATCTCATCATGCCATGCATCAGATGCTACCACCTTCCACAATACTTGAATTCTATGCTCTATGCTCCTTGCGTCTCCAGCTCCTGGATCTTGGTCAGAGTTTCTTCACACTGAAACAAAAAAGTTATTTTTGAACAAAGAACTAGACTCTGCTAGCACTTGAGACTTATATTGCATAAAAAGTTCAATTTCCTACTCTATATCAAAGCCTTACTGCATTATACATTGTGTAATCCTGTCTCAAAAGGATTATGGGCCAAAAATTCAGTTGAATTGCATCAGATTTCATACTGTATAACACAGCAGTGTTTGAGGAAGGCAAAGTTTCAAGTTTGACCAGTTACAAAATGGAAGAACCTTTAAGTCTCTGCTGTGGGCTAGAAACTGGAATAAATGTTTTATCTTCTACATTAGCTAAACTTTGACCACAGGAGAAATCACAAAGTGAAGTCATACTAAAAAGAGTTTGCAAGTATTAACAGTGTATTGAAATTATTCCTTAATATGTGACTATTCTGAAAACTGATTTAATAATTATATCTTCCTCAGGGAGTGTAACTGAGTTTTCAACATATAGTCAATCTGGATACAGCACTTAGTGCTCTGCATAGACTTACTTGTTGAAACTGGCCATATTCACTGAAACTTGCTTCGTCAAATTAAGAGAAGCAAGTTGTAATAAAGCTTTACTTCCACTCCTAAAGAAAGAAGGAACGACTGGCTGGATATGTACAGGAAACAAACAAAATGAGTAATCATGAAGTGGCTTTAAAACAGAAACAAAGTCCCCACCAAAAATTCAAACAGTCATAGAGGTAAAGGCCAACAGAATTAGACTACAAGATCTCCAGTTATATAAATAAGAGCAATAATGCTAGTGTGACTCATTTATTAGGAAATCTTTACTGCCTTCAGTTAACAAAAAAATAATGTGATGATGGCACGCTTGAAATTATCAAGTTACATAAAATGATTTCTTGCCTCTGAGTTGCTGTTTGTGAATAGCTGCAATTTGAACAGAAACACAAATAAAGATCCTTCTATTCACTCCCTCACTGTAACACGGACTCAAAACTTAAGTTTTTTAGCAATGAGCAAAAGTATAATCAGATTAACATAGAGTATTCAAATTTGCCCTGTGAGACTTGCACTTAAGCTTTTTATTTATGAGATCTACAACTCTATCATCCAAGGCAAGGGTCAGTAAGAAATTATCAACCAGGTAATGTCACCACAGACAGCTACTATAGTCTTCTGCAGTCCTCTGTGACATTTTTCACTGTCAAAGCCACAACAGACTACAGGTCTGATCCTCCAACTCCTAGACAAGGTCTCCCTGACAACTGTAACACCATCTCACCAACCACTGCATGACAAACTATTTCTTCTTAGTAATTTTAAGTCACTGAAAACCCACAGGACATAAAATTATAAGTTACCACAACCATGCCAAAACCCAGCACAGCCAAAACATTGCAGAAAAGCGCAGCTATTTCTCTAGAGATGAAAGCTAAGGGATTTCTAGTGTTTTGTTTCCTCTAATGCACAAAACCAAAATGCCAGCAGCATGCTCCTTGGTAGAAGCCCAAAGACCACTTAAAAGTCTCCATTTTCAAGATGTCTTAGACTACATAACTTATTTCATTACTTTATCCCACCTCAAACAGAGTACAAAAGCAGCTTCAGTTTCCTCTACGATCCGCTCTGACTCTTGGAACTCCTGTGGGCAGACAAGAACACCACGAGTTATGAATGCACTTTGGCATTCACTGAACATCTTTAATTTATGATTTACAATTACATTACAAGATGCACATACACACAAATGTGTCTTGCAGATCAAGCCATCTTTCCACAGTTAGCAAATGATGCAATTTATTCAGTCATCACAGTCCAGATCAGACCAGTGACACTGTAAGACACCACACAAGCAATACAATAGCATGTACTGAAGAACTACTGAAACTCATTTAACAAATAAAACTCATCTCGTAAAAAAATCCCATGGGAGTCTTTCGCTACAGTATATCATCTGTGTTTCAGACTCAACATTCCAAAATATTTAGCTTTTTCTACAACAAAGAATTTAACTTGTGTTGGAATGACTACATGCAGGGAAAAATATGGCATTCATACAAAAGCCACAAAATATCACACTTTACTGTGTTTCTTCATGCAGCTCTTAGGAGCTAATTCATAGCATCTACGAACATCGTATTTTCCTCTGTTCAGAGTCCAGTATCCCTACGTGATGCTTTGCCAGATTAGTGCTAGATTAAGCTAGAAAGGCAGCCCAGGGAGGTAGGACCAATCTGTTCCTTTGACAGCCGTGCAGAGTTTCAAAGAAAGACCCCACCTTTGGACCACAAATGGCATGACAACAAAATAACCATTCCCACCTACAAGGGCAGAGATGCTAAAATGCTTCATTTTTTTTGCACCTGCTCAAGTTTTAAAACTTTTATATTGCATCACCATTTTTCTGATGTTCTTGTTCTAAGGCTTCCCTCTCCTCGCAATTCTGCTGATTCCTTTGCACCTAGACTCGGGCAGTGCACAGATGTGGGTCACAAGACACATCTGTGAGATGACTGGTTCCAGCACACACATGTGTTTCAGTGTGGACACAGTAACAAACACAGAAGAGCTCTCTGCTCTTCACCTGACATCTCAGGAGCATCCTGAGGCAGACATACTGAGGAGATCATGAAAGGGAAGCAGCAGAGAAACAATCCTCACAGCCATTATGCCTGTACCTACACTTCCCCATCAATACTTCCTGTGCACCAGGTGCAATTGTCACACACAAATACAGTTGTGGGTGTGCCTGCTGGGCCTACATGCAACCTTGGGAGCAGAAAAAAGAAAAAAAGTGATGAAAATTGCAACATTTGTAACTCTCAATTTAAGAACAAAGAGCAGCTTTATCCAAAACAAGCGTGAAGAGGTAGTCGTAAATGAAATTCAAGACTTTCGCTTGAAAGAAGCAGGCTTCTTTCCACAACTTAAATCTCCTTGGCTCTGTTCTATTTCTCCTCTTCTGATGGTATCAATCTTAAAATAAAGACTGTGCACTTTCCCTGTAGATCAATTACTTTAAATACAACAGAGGAACACTGCGTAAGTATCATCGCCGAAAAGCTGAATGCTCAAAACCAGTTTGTTACTCCGATCCGTGTATATTCTGTTTGTAGATCAGCATGTATGCCCTGCAATCAGAGGCACAACGACACATTTTAGCATGCAGGGTGCGTCCTCCCTTTATCATCACCTCCCCTTCGTACACACACCCTCAGTGTTCCTTCAGCCCGAACTACGCTCCTTCTCATATTAAATTTAGAAACAGAACTCTGAATCACCAGTTCCTGTTGTTGCAAGTAGCTAGAAAGAGATGAAGCAAAAGAAGTTTCCTAGTAAATAGTTATAGAATAACCTGCCCACCTCATTGTTACAAAGTGCTTTATAAGCCTAGAACAAGAGATTGCATAGATTTATATGAAACTAAATAATTTCATTTCCTGGGTGTCTAATTCTTCCTAGAATCTTATCAATTCTTACGCATAACAGTACCGTGCAGCAACAAGAGATTAACTGTCCACTATAACACAGAAAAAAAACCCTCCCAAAAAAAACACTCAAAAATATTGCTTATAAACTCATTGCTTGTGAGCCTCGTGCTGCACTTGCTCCATTCCATCCTACTTTTCCTTGACCCTTTTTTAGATGCACTTCTTGACTTCTTCTTTAGAAGAACAGAAAACTCTGAGTTGCTACTTTGCAAGAGAAGAGCAGCACAAAGACTCCAAAACTGGTTATATGCAAGAAAGATCAGTTCCAGAAAAAAGGAGAGCAGAGTTCGGACAGCATTACACACAAGCTAATCTACGCTGCAGAGAGGAATGGCTTCCTAGCACAAGGAGAGTGGAAATGTACCCATGTTTCCCAGTTTGAGTCCATGAGGAACCGTATGCATGGTTAGGAAACTCTTGACCACCACTTGTAAACTCCAGTTTCTTCCACTGCTCTTGAAATGGCTCTCTCACCATTACAAATGTGTGTCTTATTTCCAATTGCCCGACTGCAGCTCCCAGCCATCACTTCTGTGTCATGCCTGTTTCTGTGAGCGTTTTCGCCTCCAGCACGCTCTCCCTCAGAAGGTGCTCTCCACCAATTATCAACTCACTCCATTTTTATCTATCAAGAAACAAGAGATCCAGACACAGAAGGAGCTTTTCAAGCTCTCCTTGTGGTACCAGAACACCAATCAGCTTTCAAGTATCTCCTCTGACTCTTATCTGAATGCACTCTCGTTTTCAACAGGCTGCCCATGACCCCAGAATCACACACGATTCACCTTCGTTTGCCCATTGTCCCTCCTACACCCAAAGTTATACCCCCTTGCTGCCCTGCAAGAGGGCAGTGACATCCAGTTGTTCACTCACTGTACCCCCAAGGAGTCTTCTCCTCAAACGCCTAGTCTGTCACTACGCTGAAGTAAAACACCTGCAGGCCCCGTGATATTACAGATTATTGTAATCTTGATTGATACAGCTCACCAGGCTGCCCAAATTACTCCGTGCAAGCTGCCTCGTCCTCATTTACCACGCTGCCTAGCATGATACGGCCTGCCAACTGTATCAGTACAGATTCTGTCCTTGTCTCTAGGTACTTGATGAAAAGGTTCAATGGAATCTGGGCTCACCTCAATCCTTAAAACAAGATTTCCAGAAGCATTCCCATTTGATAATGATTCACCGTAAATGACTAACTTCTAAACATCAGTTAGTCAGCTCTTAATTCACTTACTTTTGCAATATCACATAGCAGGAACGTGTCAGGACAGGAGTTCCAAAGGGGCATAGCAGTCCTAACTGACTGCCTCTGCTGTTGCTGAGAAAGCAAACCATAGACAGGACTGAGAAGGACCTGGAGAGTGGCAGAGGACTGCAGGGGTTGGACTGTCTCCCTGCCCTTGCATCAGATGACTTTTGAAGACACAGCTTTACTACATCACCTACAGTCCTCGTTGCTTTAACTTTTCCTATATTTTGTGACTATTAGAGTCAAGCTAGCTGGAATATGATTAAGTCAGTCATCCACCCTTCCCTTGTTTACTCTGATACAGTTAATTTTAGGAACCTCAATACCAACAGTTATTAAAAATTGTTTCCAGGTCTACAGAATTTTCAGCAAGGTCTTTAAAACAATCAAGTCACAGCACTGCTAATTCACATATGTGCATCCCTAGAAGGAATCTTTATTCATTAAGACAGATTTAATTCTCTGTTGGAATTGCATTGATGGCATCACATTCTACACCTTCCCAAATACAGAACAGTATTAACAAATATTTCTACTTTTCTTGCACAAGCTACATTTATTATTTCTGTCTAGTAATTGGAACTATTTCTAGCATACTTCAGCTGCATAAAACATGCAGTTAATTCTCTAACTTACTTCCTAACTTCTAACTTGCGGTAATTTTCATGTATCCATTGTCCCCTTAATTACTGTTTTTACTTTGAAATTTCGAGATGTGTCCTGAAGCCAGATGGCTGTTAGTGTAGATGTCTTTTTTCTTTAAACCAGAATTTCAGCCTTTGGTATATTTAGTATCTTCTTACAGAGATCACTGTTTTCCATTCACATTTTTTCCCTACAATAACATCAAGTTCTCTGTGATGACAAAAGATGCTCTTTTGAAGCATTAAGTATAATTTCTTTGGGGCTGTTCTCTGTTTGTCTATCCTTTACATAACTGGGTCACACTCGATGGTCCCATGGCAACCACCAACTTCCAGCTGTGTGATACCAAAGTCCACAGTAGCTGTCTCAGCTGAAGAGCTGAAACAAGAACTGACCTGCAATGGGCTGAATTTCCAAGGCACTGAACACCTTCCCATGATGCCAACAGGATGTTCAGCACTTTGGAATCAACAAAACTAAACGGAGTGCATAAAGGGAAACAAACCTGGAGGTTTGCTGATCGGCCATTTCGGACATCTCCAAAAAAGCATTTAAAAAAAGACGTATATTAGTTTCTCCTATTCCTTTGACTGTAAAGGTAAGGTATGTACCAAGTAACCAACTTGGTATGTCAACCAGACTGGACAACATACACATTCAGGCTCCTCCTCATCAGCCTGACCCTCACTCAGGTTAACTGCTTCTGCATACTTCAGCCATCTGCTGTTTGTTTGAGGAACAAGGCAAAATGAACCAACCTCAGTCCGATCCCAGCGGGACACTGCCACAGAAACTGCACTGCTCCTTGGCAAAGAAAGGCAGTGCAAAGCACATGCACTTGGAGTGTAGATACGGCATCCCTTATGTGCCCAAGATGAAGGCATCTATGCTCTACCTAGATTTGCACTGCAGTCAATTAAACTTTAGTACAGAATCAGTCCTTAGCCTCTAGGAGCAAGTCTTTCACAGGGCAGTAAATCAAAGTATGCAGCAAGAAGACCACAGCATTTGGCTTTGTAATTGCCTGAACAGCAAGAAAAATATTTGGAACCTTTCATTTTCACAACGTCATTAAAATAATATGCTAACTATTCATACACAGCAATCTGTTAGATGTTCTAGAAGCACAGCAGCAGCAGAGTCTGCAGATGGAATTCCGCAGCTCAACATACATGATGGACTTTTCCACATAATCCCACATGGCTGCTGAAGTACATACTTGCATACATTTAGTTAAAGTAGAAATTCCTTACG